GTCGTACAGGCTCGACCAAAATCCCCATCGAATGCTGTGCCCTGTCATTCATGCAAGCGAGATAGAACATTGCAGCAACGTTTCGAAAGTGGTCTCTGTGCACTTCAAATCATTTCTTTTTATAATTTTAGTCTCTTCTCTTTGTAGAATTTTAGTGGTAGATAATGTTGTGGTGTTTCTGAGCTGATGGATGCATTGTGGACGATTTCAAAAAATAACATTTTTAGCTGCTGACTTCTTCTTTTCTTGCTTTTGGAAGCACTTTTTTGCAACAAAAAATGCATTCTATAAGGGTTAGTCAGTGATAGAATTATAGATCAGGATGTTTATGCTGCAATGTACTTGCTTGATTACAGGGGGCGGAGACGGCGCGGAGATGGTACGATGGGATGGGATCATCATTGGTAACGCATCCTGCAGAGTAAACGTCAGCCGATCCGACTCCGTCAACCCTGGGTCCCTCCATGCTACCGCTCTGCCCGGCGGCCGGACACCTTTACACGACACGAGTAGCCACCCGATTCCTTTACAATACTTGTTATAATAAACACTGTAATTATTCATATGTGCTAGACTGTACAGAGGAACATGGGACACTTACGATAACGCTTCCACCACAGCAGCGAGTCGGTCGCACACGGCGGAGTTCAGGCCCCCGTATCTTTTTTTACTGCTTGCATCACGTCTCCTCTTTTTCATTTTTCATTGTTGTTCTTTGTTACCTGCCTATCTGCTCCCTGAACGTCTTCAGGGCACGACCGTTGGCCAGGGTTGCTCCCCTGAAGAGCGGAAATAACGTCTCTCTCTATCTTAACCTCAGTAACCCCTTTCTTTTTCGATCCCGGGCAACCAGTTAACACCGGTGCTCCTGAAAGAAGGTTTTCCTGAAATATTTATTTCTTTGTTCGGCTACGTTACCATCTTTGTTGGCTCCAGATGCCCCTTTGTCAACGATCGATCTGCGCGCTCTTTTTCTATCTTCCTTCCCTTCGTGGTTTTGTGGTCGGGAGACCTTCTGGTCAGCTCCTTGACTCACCTTCCCCTCTTTTTCTTTCCCTTTCGTCACTTTCTTTTGGTTCCTGCCGAGCTGAGATACTTTGAGGTAGGACGGTCCGCAGACGCAGTCAGTCGTAGTACGAGTTCTGTTTTTGTTGGTGTGCACACCGGGTTTGCGTATGCAACCTTTAGCTTTAAGCAATAATGCCACTTGGACCCCGTTCAGGCACGGACCATATTCGGCCTTTCATTCTTTCTTTAGATTTCCCTCTTTTACGCTTGGGCAGTTAGAATTCACTTTCATTGTTTTCTGCGGCATTACCGTTGCGAACCGCCAACGTACCTTGATAGCATCGGCATCGCGCTTCCAGCAAGAACAGCGTGGATGTTTACATTTGCAGCGCAACAATGTTGCTTTTCCCAGCCCAGCTTCAGCTACCGTTTTCCCAAAGCAATCCCGATTGCTATCGCTAGCGCATGTTTTCGAGAGCTTTTCATGCTCTGCATTTCTTTTCGATTTGCTCTCATATCATTTCTTCGCTTCTCTTATTAAGATCCTGCTTTGATAGACTTTGCTCTTAGATATTGAATTCAGTATTTGAGCTCTCGGTTTCTTTTCTGAGCACTTCCATAACACCGTTCGGTTAGCTTCTTACTATGCCGGTAACGAGTAGCCAAGTCCTCATCTTCGTCGACGCTTAAGACTCCTGTCCCCCCATCCGACTCCGAGCCTGTAAAATGTGAAGCCCCTTTGGGTTCTATCCTCCTTATCTTCGATGATCTGCAGGATGGAAGATAAGGAGGATAGAACCCAAAGGGGCTTCACTTTTTTACAGATGGAGCAGTCTTCAAGGTCGTGATGCTAAGCTTCTGCGCCACGCTGCCTCGTCGGTTATTTCGCAGGTGTGGGACGATACCCGCGCGACCGCTGCTATGCTCACTCGCAGGATTAATGAAGGCAAAAAGGCACTCAAAGAAAGATTGAACGAGTCTTTTGCAGCTGTCGGCAAACGACTCGATGCCCTCCCGGCTATTGCCATGCTCCAATTCGACGCCCAGGCCTCCAATATTATTCCTTGCTTCGGGTGTCCACTTCTCCATCTGGTTAGGGCGCTTTGAGGATATCATGCGCATGCGTCCTGTTCCTCTCACCGATGATCAGCGGGCCAATTCTCTTATTGGACATCTCGATGGAGTGACTCGCGAAAAGATGGAGGGGGACGGCGACTCCAGCAGGAGCTACTGCACAATCGTTAGTCATCTAACCGAATTGTTTGAAAGTCCTCAGCAACGCTTACGTTGCTCGTCAAAAATTATCGGCATGCCACTAAAAAACAGGCGAACCGTGTACATCGTTTGCTAACAGGGTGTTCAACCTGGCTCGGGCTGCCACCTCGGGCAAGGACTCCTCCACGCACAAGGAACGGGTCCTTGAGGAATCCTTGGACCGCCTACGGGGAGACACTCGTTATTTTGTCAGCTGGATAACCCGGTCTCCTTTAAGCAAGCGGTGGCCAAAGCTCAAAGATGGAGCAGTCTTTAAGCGAGACCACAGCTGACCGCTTCCTCCTACCCGCGTCAGCATCAGCTCCAGCGTCCGTAAAGGTTGCATCCCGCTCTCCCCACGCGAGAAACTATGACTTGACCCAACGGGTCCTCTTTCGTTCCCGAGTTCCACCACAACCCTCAGGGATATTCCGCATTCCGGCGCCACAACCGCGTCCGACCAACGATTTTCGTTGCTTCACTTACCAT